CTTTCCTCCTCCTCTATTATAAAGCCAAAAATTGCATTAGTTCAATATGCCGCAGCAGCATTTTAGCAGGATTAAATCTGAGCCAGGATTCAGTCCCAGAAGCTTTTAGTCTGTTGTCTACATTTCTCCCATTGTCCAATCGCTCTGATAATCCATTTGATTTCACATTCCATTACCAAACCTCCCTCCCATTAGCACGCTGCTGCTCTGCTTGTTTATGGGCATTCTCTGATATCATTTCATATCCAATATTGAAGAACTTGTCCTCAGGACACATGCGATAGATGCTAATACACTCTCAACTGAAGGGAAAAAAGCACGTCACAAAATATATTGTTTGCTTGTGGAACTCTTTGCCACAAGCTTTTATTGATCATGGCTGACGAAAGGCTTTATAAAGAAGTGGGCTCGTTTATTGAGGACACTAGCAGCAGCCAACTTCCATCCATAATTGCAGGCTTTTATAAAGGAACTTTTACTTTTATGTCATCAAATAACTGCAACATTTTAAGATGAGTGCTAATTTAAAAAGAAGGTGAGAGAGAAAGAGGAAGCGAGTAGGATGCAGCCGCTTAAACTGCCTTCTGACATGGAAGGCCATATTCTGTGAGAAATACAACAGAACATTACAAGCTTAAAGAGGTATTGTAATTTATAATTTCATGCATTTTATATTGCGCTTTAGCACAGTAAAAACCTTTACACTGCATATAATTGGAACTTTGGAATTCACTGTCACAACTACTGCTGGCTGTCATCTCAACTGGGTTCAAAACAGGGTTGGAACAATTCACAGAAATCATGAGGCTCAATGATTATTAGCCTTGATGGCCATCCACCTGGCAGACTAGAGGGCTTCCTTGTATAATTGGTTGGCTGCTGGTTAGCCACTGGTTGGTAGCTATGAGAACAGACTGCTGGACTAAATGGGCCACAGGTCCAATTCAGCAGGCCACACATTCCTATATTTCTGAACCCATTCCTACTGAATTGTGCAGTAGGAATATATGTGCATTGTTGACTAAAAGTGATACTTGTTTGTTTCCGCCCAAATTCCATTTCCTGACCAAGCTGTGTGAAATGATGTTTATGAACCTGAACATCCTCAGGGAATTGTGTAGGAAATATATACACAAAAGTTTGAGGTATATAAAACTGTGGAAGAAACTTAAGGGGAAAAAAAACCAATAAAAGCTGGAAGGGAAGCAAACATCTCCTTTGGCTAGACACTGCTATTCTAAATACCATACATATTTGCAAAGTGCAGTTCCCTAAGCCATTACGTTGCAGATCTTGCAATTCTAGTACATTCCAATAAGCACATTAGATATTGATGTTTTGTCTTATTAATGTTCAAGCAAAAGTGAAATCAGAGTGCTAGAGTGCAAAATGGTGCAAAGATCCAGATGCCAAGTAGCTATCCCTATAATCCAGGGTTTCAGTTGTGCTACTGCACAATAGAATACAGTAAATACTGATTCATTCTCTGATCTGATACCAGAACGCGTACTGGCTCCTGCATCTTGCAAAAATATTTTGGAAAAAATAATCATAATATTGACTCTGTGTCAGCATTAGTTTGTGCCTGCTTTAATTAGTCCTTGCAGGTGGTCAGCTGCAGCAACTCAGTTCAACTTCATTCATTGAGCTTTTTCTTCCCTAAAGATCCACATGTTGGAGTGTCTAATAAATGATCTGTAGTTTCCTGCAGTTGCAGGGAACGAATGAGAATAGACTGGGCTTGTATATAAATTGGTATCCAGAAATCACCTATGTCCACCATCCTTTAATTTTTAAACAATGAAATTCAGAGTTGTGCAGAAGTCTAATTATGTCAATAATATTGCCATATTTGTATTTTCTATAAAAAACAATATTCTAATGAAGGAATTACTTCATTATCTATCTGCAGGTAGTCCTTGGTTACTAACTAATCATTCAGCAACTGTTCAAAGTTAAAATAGTACTAAACAAGTGAAGTTTATGAGTTGTCCTTGAAGTTCTGACCATCCTTCCATCCCTGTGGTCATGTGATTATAAACCACCCAACATTTAGTGATGTACCTACTACGGGCATGTAGTCATATGGATTGCAATTTGTGACTTTTCCTGCCAGCTTCCCACAAGCAAACCTGGTAGGGAAGGTAACAGGGAAGATCACAAGTTGGTCTCGTACGTTTTCCGCACCTTTCACCCTCCTAGAGTCCCATAGTGCTTGTATCATGCCAAGTTGGCCACTTGTGCACACTCTCCCTCCCAGCTGCTTACTTATCTTCTGGTCTGGTTGCAAGTTCTCTGAGACTTCAACTTTGGCTGTTAGAAGCTGGCAGGAAGTAGCCAGGAAGTGCTTACCTAATGACACATGATCCTCATTTAAGTACAGCAACAGAGCTGCAGTGGTTGCTCTTGCTATGCAATGCAGTCATGGACATTGCACTTTATGACCACATCACTTAGCAATGGAAATTCTGGTCCCAATTCCCATAGTAATTCAAAAACTCTCTGTGTCTCTTTCTTTCATCATAAATTGCCAAATATCCATTCCCAGAATCTAATATCGTTGTTTTTCAAATGCAGTTAGTCCTCCTTTAACAATCACAATTGGGACCAGCAAATCTATCATTAAGTGACACGGTCATTAAATGAGACATCATGTTACTTCAGTGCCTCATGACCTCACTTTTACTGTGCTATTAAGGTAAGCAAATCGCTGCTGTCGTTAAGCAAGAAATCATGTGGCTGTGCAATTTTACCGTTGGCTTTTGCACTGTTTCTGCTCCTTGGAAGTCATCTGTGAAGTGTGCAAGTGATAACCATGTGATCTTGGGATTCTGTGATGGTTGTAAGCCACATCAGATGTGAGCTGCCCAGATCTCGGATGCACGGATGGTTTTAAGTGCAAGAACTGGTTGTAAAGTTATTTTTCAGCACTGTCATAACTTCAAATAGTTGCTGGATAGGACATTGTTAAACAGGAACTACATATATTGCACTTTCATTTGTGTTCTTATGAGATTTACCAGGTGATGATGGGAAGTTCTATTCTCATCTTTTAATATATGATAGGCAGCTTTGAGTTGACTCGCATCCAAGCTGGTTGTAAAAACAGGATTTGAAAGCTGAGGGATAGTGATTGGTTAGCCAAGATGGTTGAATGAAACGTTTGTGCAAAAAGATGTGTACTGTCCAAGATCGGAATCAGAATCACACTCAATCAAAACTAGCTGAAGAAACTATGCTTGGCTCTACTAAAACATTGAGTTGAGCTCTAAGCCAAATGTTGGGTTTGGCTATTTCTTTTTTCTGCATTGTGGATAGAATTTGCTTGATTACTTAGATCAATAAAAGGCTTTATGAAGGTGATCGCACTGCAAGATGGTTAGATGTCTGATACTCAAGAGAAAGTTTTCTTCTATTGGGCTCCCAGTTGTTGAATGCTTTCCTCAGGGTGGTGTGCTGGTTTTACCAAGTTTTAACTGCGAATTGATTTAATTGGATTGATTTCATTATGCTCTTTTATAATTTGACTTTAACTTTTGTTTTAAACATAAACATTTGTATCAACAGAAGAGGATAGCTTAACAAACAAACAAGGCATTAATAATTTGGGATGTTTGGCATTGGGGTATAGTATAGTATAGTAGCAAATAATAAGTCAGAATTAATGGGAGCATATTTAGCAGCATGGAATTCAGGCCCAGCAGAACTAAAAACAGGGTTTTTTTTGAGAGGGGCTGCTATTCCCTAACTAGTAAGAAGAAAATGTTTTATCTCACTATTCTGCTATTTCTATTTTGTCCAAGCTTGTTCCAGAAGCAGGAGGTCTGCACTTGAGAAACCAGAGTTGTGCTTTTGCTAATCTTTGGGGTTTTTTAGTCTCCAGATTTTACCCCCTGCAGAGGTGATACAGGTGGGAATGCCTTTAATTTGAAGAATTAAATCTGTGTAAATCTGACTCTCACATGTATTCCCTGAGCCTGTGAAATCGGGACAACATACAATTAACCAGGGCAACAGGCAACTTCTGACTGTTCTCTCATGCCATCTTTGCCATAAGATAAAGTGTGACTTTAACCAAGACAAGATTCATTTACTTTCCTCCATCATGATCCATTTTTCCCTACTATACAGGCACACATGATAAACCCTTGGGACTGCAGCTACCCCAGAGCAAGTGGTTCCTTGTTTTTAGGACCTAGGTCATCCTCAGGCTGGGGTATGACAGAACTGAAAAAGCATAATGAATATTTGAGGAAAACCTGCCCTCTGGGATCCTTCTTCTCTCCTTCCCTTCCTCCCTCCCTTCAAAGTTTTTATATCACTCCCTCGTATAGATTCTGGGCAGTTGACAAAGTAAAAACATTGAGCATGAAATGTTCTCCAAACCACAGCTCTTATCCCTCAAAGTAACATCAGAATAAAACCATAAATGGTTTCCAATGACCCTCAGTCAGCAAATCCTGCTGAGAATGACCTTCAGTGCCTTTTCAATGCCAGGAGCAGTCCTCTCTGTGGGTCACATATTGTACCTCAGGGAGTCCACTGCTGTAGAGGCCAACTTCTTGCCCACCTATCCCACAACAGAACAGGAGCATAAGAACAGGCAGAATCATTTTGAGCAAGTAAGGCAGTTCCTAATAAGTATTAATTCTATATTATTTTCTTTAGTATCAGATGTATTGGGTATGGTGGTTGTGAATTCAAATTCAGTGATGAGGTATTCTGTATTTTTATAAAGGCGCCCTTGTCTTGTGTTATGTACGTGATGATTGCAACAGATTAATTTCTCACTGTATGTATATGAAGGGAATGGAAGGAGAGGAGAGTTATGGTAAGTTTAAGAGGGAATATGTGTGATCAAACACAATTGGTTGCATAAACAGTATTGCAGAACCATTCTGTTACAATAATAAGCAATGGATAAGAGCTTATTTGATATTACTATAGATGAAGGCAAAAGTCAAAGAAAGCTCTGCCTTAATTTGTTTTTGTTGTTTTAGATTATCCATCTGGCCCAAGTGAGTTTCCTCATCCCTGCCTTTGGTTCAACCTTCATTTTGGATCTTGAGCTGAACCAGTAAGTATTTACTGCCAAAATAATTGTTCTTGTGATTCAAAGGTAAGATTCCATTTTTTGATTGGGTGGTGAAGGAAGGGGAAAGAGTGGTTGTTTGGAGCCTCTCCGATAATTGCAGCCAAGAAATACATTTACCAAAATTATATATAGAACTGTAAATCTTGAGCAAATAGAAAATCACACAGAATAAATAAGGAAATAGTAAAAGATGCCCACATTTAAAAAAGAAAGAAATCTTGTCCATGGAAAATTGTGTATCATTTCAATGCTAAACTAGGATTCTTCTTTATGATAAATTGCTTCTTATGGTACAATGGAGAACATTTGGGTGTATATTTTCAACATATGTAATAGAATGCTTTCATGTAAAAGGATGAAGTACGTTGTACAGCAGAATTATAAAAATACCTGAGATTCGCTATCAATGCTGGTTAGATAGTGTAAGCGTGTATTATGTTTATATGCAATAGCAGGACTTATAGTGGATAGAGCCACAATCTGCTCAGAGTCACATCATTAAATCTTGTCATTCTATAAAGTGCATCTTTTCACTGCCATAATAATCTCAATATCTTAAAAAAAAATGACTCTGATCACAGACAAAAAAGACTGTTATGGAAAACTGAGTAATTTTGATTAATATACCATGCTAAACCACAAATGTGGATCACAACAAATTGTGTTAAGTTCTTAAAGAGATGTGAGCACCAGACCATCTTATTTGTCTCTTGAGAAACCTATATGTGGATCAAGATGCAACAGTGAAAACTGGACACGGAACCATTGATTTGTTCAAAATTGGGAAAGGAGTCGAGCAAGACTGTATGCTGTCGCCCTGCCTATTTAACTTATATGCAGAGCACTTCATGAGACAGGCTGAGCTAGATGAATCAAAAGTTGAAATTAAGATTGCCGGGAGAAATATCTACAACCTCAGATATGCAGATGATACCACTCTAAGAGTAGAAAGTAAAGGGGAACGAAAGAACCTCTTGATGCAGGTGAAGAAGGAGAATGCAAAAGTTGGCTTGAAACTCAACATTAAGAAAACTAGGATCATGGCATCTGGCCCTCTCAATTCCTGGCAAATAGATGGGGAAGAAATGGAGGTAGTGACAGATTTTATTTTCCTGGGCTCCAAGATCACCACAGATGGGGACCGCAGCCAAGAAATTAAAAGATGCTTGCTCCTGGGGAGGAAAGCTATGGCAAATCTAGACAGCATACTAAAAAGCAAAGACATCACCATGCCAACAAAAGGGCGTATATTCAAGGCTGTGTTTTTTCTAATTGCAATGTATGGCTGTGAAAGTTGGACCATAAGGATTGCCAAAGAATTTAGGCCTTTGAACTATGGTGCTGGAGAAGACTCCAGCGAGTCCTTTGGACAGCAAAGCGATCAAACTGGTCAGTCCTAGAGAAGATTAAACCTGACTGCTCTTTAGAAGGCCAGATCCTGAAGATGAAACTTAAATACTTTGGCCACCTAATGAAAATGAAGAACTCACTGGAGAAGAGCCTAATGCTGGGAAAGATTGAGAGCAAAAGAAGGGGATGACAGAGAATGAGGTGGCTGGATGGAGTCACCGAAGCAGAAGGCATGAGCTAAAATGGACTCCGGGGATAGTAAGGACAGGAAGGCCTGAAGGAACGTTGTCCATGAGGTCGCAATAGGTTTAACACAATTTCACAACTAACAAAAGCAACAAACCACAAATACCGTACATTTCTGAGTGTAAGATGCCCTCTCCCCACAAAAGAGGGTGGAAATGTTGGTGTGTCTTATACACCAAACACAGCCTCTGGAAACCCTGCCCAACATGTCCCGTTTTCACAAAAACAGGGTGCGCAGGGGGTTTAGGAGGCCTGCAGAGTCCTAGGGGTGGAGGAAGGCAAAAGGAGGCAAAAAATGGGCCTGTTTTTTTTAAAAAAATGGGGGCATTTTTGCCCTTCACATCCCTCAGGAGCATTCTGCAGGCCTCCCAAACCCTCTGTGTGCCCCGTTTTTGAGAAAAATGGGCTCATTTTTGGCCTCCCAAACCCACCAGGAGTGCCGATTTTGCCCTTCCCAATCCTCAGGAGTATTCTGCAGGCCTCCCAAACATTCTGGGCATCTATTTTGGCAAAAAATGGGATGCGCAGGGTGGGGTTTCCGGAGGCCAAAAATGGCTGTACTTGATGTATAAGACACACAAACATTTCCACCCTCTTTAGGGGGGGGGGAGTGCGTCTTATACTCCGAAAAATAAGGAATTTATTAGGTTTGGATTTCAAATATAGTTGGTCCTAGTTGTTGTGATTTATACATCATGGATTACAGCATAATGTGTGTATCAAGTCATTGTGGCATGTTTAGTAAATTGTTATCAAACTTTGATTTAGCATTCCACATGTTCAGTGTAACGATCAAATTGAAATAATCAACAATTATTGTAAATGCTGCAGTTTATTTATTTTTTAATAATTTAATCTGGTCTATTTATATTTGTTTATTTATTTTGCTGTGTTCTTTTTAATTCTGTAAGCCAAGAAGAATCATGTGAGATATTCAACTATGTGAATTGAATAAACAAAAATAAATAATTATCATTCTGGAAAAGTTAATTAAGCAACAAATCGATGAACACCTAGAGACAATGTAATTACCAAAAGCTAACATGTTGTCAAAAAGTGATAATGCCAGACAAATCTTATTACATTCTTTAACAAAGTGACAAAATTAGTGGATCACAGGAATGCTATACTTCAATTTATTTGGACTTCAGTAAGACCTTTGATAAAGTAGACTATAACCTATTACTTTATAGAAAAATATGGGTTTAACAGCATCACCACCAGATGGATTCGTAACTGGTTGACCAACTGCACTCAACATCTAGTCCTCAATAGAACTGCATGTACTTGGAGGGGAGTATGCAATAGGGTACCCCAAGGCTCTGTTTTAGGCCCAGTACTCTTCAACATCTTCATCAATGATTTGGGCAAGGGGATAGAAGGGGAATCCATCAAATTTGATGACACCAAGCTGGTAGGAATAGCCAATACTCCAGAAGATAGGTTTAATGTACAGAAGGATCTTGACAGACTTGAACATTGGGGGCTATCTAACAAAATGAAATTCAATGGTGAAAAGAGTAAGGTTCTACATTTAGGCAAGAAAAACAGAATGCACAGGTACAGTATATGTGGTACTTTGCTCAATAGTAGTAACTGTGAGAGGGATCTTAGAGTCATAGTGGACAATCATTTAAATATGAGCCAGCAGTCTGTTGCAGCTGCCAAAAAAGCCAGCATTAACATGGAGATAGAATCAAGGTCACGTGAAGTGTTAATACCACTTTATAATGCCTTGGTAAGGCCACACTTGGAATACTGAATTAAGTTTTGATATACACGATGTAAAAAAGATGTTGATACTCTAAAAAGAGTGCAGAGAAGAGCAACAAAGATGGTTAGGGGACTGGAGGCTAAAACATATAACTAATGGTTGCTGGAATTGGGTATGTCTAGTTTAATGAAAAGAAGGACTGAGGGAGACATGATAGCAGTATTCCAATATCTCAGGGATTGCCACAAAGAAGAGGGAGTCAAGCTATTTTCCAAAGCACCTGAGGGCAGGACAAGAAGCAATGGATGGAAGCAACCTAGAACTAAGGAGAAATTTCCTGACAGTTAGAACAATTAATCAATGGAACAACATGTTTTCAGAAGTTGTGAATGATTCAACACTGGAAGTTTTTAAAGAAGAGATTAGACAACCATTTGTCTGAAATTTGTCTAAGCAGGAGGTTGATTTGAAAACCTCCAAGGTCCAGGTCTGTTAGTCTATTCTCTCATTGCACAAATCTAGAGAGTGATCCTATGTAAAATATTTTTTATCCCATTCTTTTTTCATATACTCAAGGCAGCGAACATACCAATATTCCTTCTTCCTCCCATTTTCCCCACAACAGCACCCCTGTAAAGTAGATTGGGCTGAGAAAGAATGAGTGGCCCAAAGTCACTCAGCTGACTTTCATGGCTAAGGCAGGATTAGAACTCATAGTTTCTAGGCTAGCATTACACTGAACTGGTTCTCCAGTTATTCAATCCCAATAGTCTTATATTAAAATTTTCATAATATAAAGATCCAGAAAGATTCTTTTTTGGAATTATAGTGTAAGAGAATATTGTTATTGTATTAGCTGCAGAGGAAATTAAAAGTTTCTTTCTATTTCTTTTGAGTTTCTCTTTATGCATTTTCCTCTTTTTTCTTTTTTTACTCTTATTAGTTTGTGTTAGCTTTTATGTTCTTTGCAAAACTTTTAATGATTTATAGATACAGATAAATGGATGGATGGATGGGTGGGTGGGTGGATGGATAGATAGATAATGGAAAAATGGTCATTTGGGCAAGTTTCTGAATATTTTATTCCATGATACTTTAAAGAGGGATTAATATATTAAGGTATAAACTTTCATTAGCTGCGAGCTACTTTTGTCAAGTAGCAGATTTACATATATGAGAGTAGAGAAAATAATAGAAAAATGTAATCTCTTTTTCGGGCAGAAGATAAAGTCTGTAATTATCTACAAACATGAAACATTATTACAGACTTTATCTCATAGTGACCATTCAAAGCGCAATAATAGATGATAACACAATTATCATAGTTTTAATTTGTTAATTAACAGCAATAATGAGATTGAACAACACTGTTATCTCAGTTCAGGTATTTGTTTTTAAAAAATGCATATGGAATAAGCCATGTTTTAGCTTAGATTATACACCATGTTCTTCTCTTTAAAAGAAGAGACCAAGATCTCAACGATGGATTGCAATATGGGAGGTGTGAAATTTGTAACATGGGAGTCTTCACATATGTCAGTATCTCCCAATGTGGCGTCTTCCAGTGTGTAGATTTCCAACACTCTTTTAATTCTCAGATATCTTTGCTGTGAGTTGTGAGAACTGAAATTTTAGGCTACTTTATTGGCAAACTCTGAGGTAGTAATAGGCAAATTCATAGGCATGGATGTGGGTGCATACTTTTTCTTAACATATGGTTGTAACAGAGTGTGTCACAGGATAGGAGTTACAATGTGTTGATTTTATATTTATGTGGCAAGCCAAGATATGTGGCAGCAAATGTGAAAGAAGGTGTGCTTGTCTTCCTGTTTATTTATGTAGGTGGGTATGCATATTTTTGCGTGATAAAACTGAGTGCTTGTTGTGAGTGGAAAGGCCCACTAGCTTTGTCCCATCTGCTTTTATTAAACAATTATGAAACATACTTATAACTGAACACAGATAAAAAAAGAAGAAATGGAGATGTCTAGTTCCAGAGAATTTTCTAGATACATTGATTATGTTGATCTATGACTATAATAAAGATTTGTTTTAATTTTATATATGTTGACAATTCTTGTGCTAATTAAAATATTGAAATATGGAAGGGGCAATACTGTTTTTAATTTCTCAAAAGGACTTTCAATACTGAAGTACAACTATGCATCTCCTGCATATGCCTTACCCTTCATCTCTGATGAATTCGGAGACGTTATAGCTGCATAAAAATGAGAGAAAGTCACTCTGTACTTGCTTAGTGACACTCTACACTTGTTATTTATAACTTCCAGAGATGTCTTATTAATGAAAAACAGTTTTACTCCTTTTCTTGTAGTCAAATTTCAATCCCTCTATCTCAGAAACTATTTTGCTGTATTATTTCAGGATTTGTCAGAGGTTTTTTTATGCGTGGGTGCATGTGCACAAATGTGAAGCAATGCAAGCAAGTTATTGACTATGACACCATATTTGCTCATTTTGTACATGTGATTATAGTCATAATTAATTCCACGCAGATCCCAGTGTTTGTTCATTTATTATTGTTCGTTTAAATTTACTAACTACGTAACTCCAGGGGACTTATGAAAATATGATTATGTGCATAATGTATATCAATATATGAGCTTCTATGTACCTTTTGCAAGTTTAAATAGGATATAAATAGGGGTGTAGCTGTGGGAAATTTTCTTCATGCAGTGATTTTTTATTATTATATGAGCCATGCAATATTGTAAAGGTATTTGGTTTTTTTTAATACTATCTCCTAAATATGTGTCTAAATATATTATCTGGGGTGAATATAGTTTGAAGTACTATGCTTGGAAGGTGTGATTAGGTGAGTGCCTTTTAATATTTAATAAGGCATCTGGAAACATTTCTGTTCATCTGTTCTTCTGCAAATAAATTAAGTTCAGGGTTAGGCACTAGATCACTGTAAGATGAGGTAGCTGATGATGAGCCTTAGTCTGTAACTAGATATAGTGTTGTAAATGAGTAGGTCAGGTAACTGAGTTTCACCCCTGGACTGTGCCTTCTTTTACCCAGGAGTCCAGATGCCCTGAAAAATGACCTGAACAAAGCTCAATGTTCATTTTCAGTGTTGGAATTTGCTGGGGCCACAGAACTGAAGGGAATATTTGCCAAGGACTAATAGCTGCTAATAATAGTGCATCCAGGAAGAATGTTTGTAGAATACTACAGATACGTGGATTTCAATCATGAAATCTACACATCTATATTGAGGAAAGGCAAGCTTTGTAATTTGCCAAACTAGATTTGCCAAATAATGAATTCTAGTTCCTGGCTCAGTTAACCCATTTCTTTTTCACCCAAGGAATCTTTTCTCTGCAAGTCTTTGCAGAGAAGATCTGCATTCAAAAGCTAAGTGGTGGGAATCATTGGAAACCAACAGCAAGAGATTGTTCATGCCAGTCAGAGAGCTCACAATGTAGCTCATGCTTTGCATGATAGCTTGAATCAATAGTGATTCAAGAAATTTATTATGACATGCACCCATACAAGTGCCATGATTGTCAACTAGAGCAAAGGTCAGTTGCCAATGTTTTCACTACCAGTTTGGGTGCGCTCCTGCACACACGCGCAACACTTCTGTACATGCAGAAGCGGCTGGGCGGGTGGGTGGAGCCTCCCGCCGCCACTACTATAGGTTCGGCCAATCTGGGCTGAACCAGCAGCAACCCACCTCTGAACTAGAGGATAGTTTAGAGTAGTTATACTGAGTAAAGGAGAGTGGGCAAACAGGGATAGGATCGGTCACACAAAAGAAATGACAAAGGTTTTGGTGTCCTCAATACTGTTAATTTTATAAGCGTGAATTAGGAAAACAGGAGAATATGAGGCAGATTTGATCTCAAACATAGATGAAAGTGTTTATATAATTTTCAAACTTTTTCTTCTTCTATCAGCCATCTGTTGTCCTTAAATTATGTGGAACGTCATTTTGGACAGGATGGAAATGCCAGCCACACCACGGTAAGGAATCTAAAGATCTATATCTGTATTGCTTAACTTAATATTTAAATATGTGTAGAGTCCCTTTGCATCGGGGGAGAGGGGGAGAGGGGAGGGGGAGAAGGAGAAGATCGTTACAAGACCTTGACCTGCATTTATTTCAGGCTAGTTCTCCCATCTGTTAAACATGAAATAACTAACTGGGTGGGGCAGTGGGAAGATTGTGGATGGGAGGAGTGCTGGTTGTACTTTGCAGCTGCCAGAGCAAAGATGTAGATTGCAGATGCTGAGTCTGAAAAAGAATGAATGGATGATCCAGAAATAGCCCTGCTCTCCCTGCAAAAGGAAGCCTCACAAGTAGAGCATCAATAATACTAAGTGCTTGCTAAGTGGTTGGTCACACACAGCCTCCCAAGCAGCTGCAGCCAATCCTTGAGTCCCTGCTTTGCCAGGAGCAATGGCTTCCCCCATTCTTGTCTAAGCTAACCTGAACCATGCTGCTTTCTATAAATAGTCATGAGAGGGAGGTGGTTGCTTGCTCATGCTGCAACAACCTTGAACACAACAGGCAGGGCAGGGACACTTGTGAACTGCTTCATAGAAAGGCGCAAGCAGGCAAAAGAAGGTCAGCAGACAGGCATGCTTCTGCACAGAGGGTACAGCTGGGTATTGGTGTGCCAATGTCATTTCAAGTATAATTTATCATTCTTCATTGTTGCTGATATTGTTCAAGTGCAGTATTATCCACACTGATTTTACATTTTAAATGCTATGGTTCTTTGAGCTGTACATTCAGCATCACCGTGTTATACCAGAAAAATAACACTCTGCCAACGGTGTTGAACTATTGTTCGTATTAAAATTAAGTAATGCTGAATATGATAGGAGCCATAGGGTACTGGATGGTAGAAAACCACATCTGGAGGGTACCGGATGGTAGAAAACTAGAACATCTGGAATCCATATTTGGAGAGTGGAAAGTAGTGGAAAGTCCTTTGAGAGTCCACCTGTCTGCCTACATTCTGATCTATTCTCTGGTCATCTCTTGCCTTGGTTCCTGTAATCTTCTCTCAGCTTTTTCACCATAATTGCAGAAGACTTTAGCTAATTTTCCTTAGTCCTCTGCCTGACGTCTGTGTAGTTTATATCTTTAAATAGCCATCCTATGCTAATCTTTTCTTTGTTATATCCCCAAAATCTGAAATATCAAGATCTGAATTATACAGGACAGGAAGACAGTTCCCATTAAAAAGAGATGGCCATGCAGTCCACACAGACAGGACATGTGAAAATGTTTTGTTTGACAGATGTCAGGACCAGATTTTAACTTTGAAGGCCATGAACATGAAAGGAGTTCGAGAGTTTTGAAGTGATCTTTCAACAGATATTATGATACTCTGGTCATAGTTCCCCCCCCCCCCGCTATGATAGAGAAGTATTATGTTTACAAATTTGTATTGAGCTTGTAAATTATCATATGCAGGCAGCTCTGAAAATTTTGTTCTCTTTGTGGCTACGCAAAGATGTTTAAGTTAACTGTGTAACAACAAAGAAATCAAATTTCTTCTTCCACTTTACCTTGCTGTTTTTTATCATTTTTTCATGCCTTTATACTTTTAATGTTAGAGCAGTAGTAGAATTTAATTATAGGGACATGATGTCTCAGTGGCTAAAACACTGAGCTTGTCGATCAGAAAGGTTGGCAGTTCTTAGTGCCATATAATGGAGTGAACTCCTGTTACTTATTCCAGCTTCTGTCAACCTGGAAGTTCGAAAGCATGTAAAAATGCAAGTAGAAAAATAGGAACCACCTTTGGTGGGAAGGTAACAGCATTCTGTGTGTCTTCGGCATTTAGTGATGCTGGCCATATAACCACAGAGACATCTTTGGACAGAGCTGGCTCTTTAGCTCTTCATCTCTTTGAAACAGAGATGAGCACTGCCCCCTAGAGTCAGGAACAACTAGCACATATGTGCAAGGGGAATCTTTACCTTTTAGTATTTATTTATTTGGTTAGTGGCCACTTAATTTAAAACAATAATAGCAAAATGGAACAAATTTAATTCAAAGTTTATTTAGCATATATTACAAATCACGTTTTACTTTATATCTCTACTGCTGTAAAAATGTTATATTCAAATAATGATAATGTAATTTTAAAAAAACCACCTATTTCTTTTAGCTATTTGCTTTAGAGCTACCTAAAATAGTAGCACACAAAAAAGCAAAGGGAGTGACCATTTAAAAATAATTAAGAAAACAAAACCTAGTGCCAGAAAAATACAACTGAACACTCACACATCTTTGATGTAACAAAACATAAGTCATTAAATTTGTTTACCTTATCCACAGGAGGAGTCATTTTTCAACAGCAAAGTGCACCTATTTGCATTTGGAAGGCCTCAAGTTCAGTTTATTGATTATTTTCATAACAATTTTATTACAAATTACAGCAACAAAAAACTAATTCAAACTTTAAAAAGGAAAAAAATGGATACAAAAAATAGAAGATAAAAAAGAAAAAAGAATATATTAAAGAAAAAAAGATATATAGAAAGGAATGTCTTCCCTCTTTATCACAAGCATAAATACTTTTAATAATTTATTAAAGGTAAAGATTTCTTCCCTGTCTGAGTCATGTGTGGCTCTAGGGGTCAGAAATGCTGATCTCCATTTCTTGGCCGAGGAAGCCAATGTTTTCAGAAGACATTTCCATGGTCATGTAGCCAGCATGACTATACACTGAAGTGCACAAAACGCTGTTATCTTCCCACCAAAGTAGTACTAATTATCTACTCACATTTACATGCTTTCAAATTGCTAGGTTGTGCAAGGCTAGAATCTTGAATCCAGGTTGGATATATCCAGTGCCCCCAATAACTTATTACCTTTTCTTAAAATAAACAAAAAAATCTCTTCTTCCCATACCCCATCTGTTATTTAGAAACAAATTCTTAAAACCTTGTCATTTCAACTCCAATCATCAAAAGTGCATGAGTCATCATAGAGATAACAATATATGTGTTTTAACCATGATCAAAAAAACCAACTCTATATTTCTTAAATTTATTTCTAACTTTCTGATGTTTAGTCACTTCAAATAATGCACTAGAAATTTATTTCTTTTCATTTTTTTCTTGTCCCATCTCATAAAATACCTTCATAAAATATTTATCTGGGCTTACTCTCTTGCTTTGTTATTTGTATATCCCCTTTAATTATGAATATATCATCTAATTACTTTTGTACGTCCATGTAACATTTTGTTTCATAATTCTTACAGCATTCTTGTAACATCATTCTTATGGCATGTTATTTTAAAACCCACTTTTAAATTTGTCTCAGTATTGTCTGATAAAACTTGTTCATTTTTCATAATATCTTTTAAATAAAATCTACCTATAGAGGCAGTCACTGTCAAGATTAACTTCTGGGTCCATTGTTTAAAAATATTCTTTAATATATCCAATATTAAAATATTTTGCTCCATTCTGTATTTGTAAGTCAAATTTAAGGGTTTGTCTCTTTTTTATTGTAACCTTATTTGCTTCTATTTCATTTAGTGTCCAATTTTTAAAATCTTGAAGAATTAAAAACAAATGTATTTTCCTATGGGAAGGATTTTTTTATAATCAATTCCAAACTCATATTTCAAATTTATCTTAGTCCATCTGTTACTTCCTAAAAAATGCTTTGGCTCTTTGTTTCAAATAGTTTTTAAATCCTTAAACTTGTAGTTAAAACATATTTCTTTATCCCACCCCCCCAAATGTTCTCATTCTTCCTGCTCTGTTTGATACTCTATTTTTCTGATCTCCAATAAACCGACTGCGCATATTTATTCCACCCATCCTTTGAGTGAGTGATGACATCAATCACTATTTTCTACATACTCCCCTCTTGTTTCTGGAGTAGCATAGAGGATCTGAATGGTAGTGCTGTGGTGGAGAGATTTGATTTGTCTCTTGCTAGTTGGTTGCTTATTTTGCTTCTTGTATTGAAGAACAAGCCAATTTACATTACAAGAACTTAAGCAGATAAAAGGAAACATGATGTTTTGTTACATCTCTTTTAGGGACCGAATGAGCACTGTTACTATCAGGGAAATCTCCGCGGAGAAGCAAACTCTTTTGTGGCTTTATCTACCTGCCATGGCCTACAGTAAGTAAGGAATGGTGAAATGAGAAAAGCAACCATGACAAAGAAAGCCTGGTTTCCATCAAGGCAAAGTCAGTCTGTGTGTGTGTTTTTTTTAAATTGACTGTTGGATATTGTCCATGTTGGGATTCTTTGTAGATAAGAAGTGGTTTAGTTAGACACTTAAAAATTAATAACTCTGATAATAGGCATTTAAAAAATAATAATTCTGATCAGTCAGAAATCTGATTAAAGTTGCTACTTCAGTGCTGAGTGGGCTTGTGGGTGATGTCAGCACGGTGCCATTGTGGCTTCTATCATACTGAAAAAGTCAGTTTAGTGCCCATGAATAATATTTCCTAGTAATTCTTAAGGGCGTATAGTCTGCATTTAGACATTTCTTGATCCAGATTCTGTTTTTATTTCCCTGAGTGAGAGAAATAAGGAATGTCAACTATGACTGCTTCATGGAAATGCTTAGCATGCGACTTTTAGAAACATGCAACTTTGTCCTAATGAAGTTACTGATGCCTGCCTGAATATTGTTTCTTAATTTTTTCCCGCCTAATGTAAATATAGTTGCCTTTGTGTTTTATGTAACCTCTTCATATTTCTTTGCACTTCTTCAGTGGTGTTTTCTCTGATGGAAAAGACATGTACCTCCTGAAGCCTCATGATTCACTTGAACATCAAGCGGTAAGGAAAGCGTGGCCCGGGCTGTAATTCCATCACTGCCATAGAGATACCTCACTTGTGTTTCATCCCCAGAGGTGAAAGGAAGTTCGTGTTGGCTCCCTTCCCTCCTGTAAACTTCTGTAGATATTGGGAGTCTGTTCTAAGTCAGCGTCAGTGTCAAAGTGAGGTGTCTGGGCAAAATTACTGGCATTGAATTGCAGAGGCCCGGATTCAAATCTCTCTTCAGCCAGAAAGCTCACTTGAAGGATATCAACAACCATTGTCCATCAGACCAACTGACATTACTAGGTTGTTCCTAGGATAAACGGTAACAATTAACAAGGTACACAGTAGCTTTAAGCAATAGTGACATATAAGTATAATACACATAAATTCTATTTTGACTTTCTTGGCATAGTAACAGGAAGAGAGAAAATTGCCAGCTTTAAATGTGAGGTCAGACGCATGCAGGGATAATTAACTCCAACTTTTATCAAGAAGTTTTTGTGTGTTTTATTTTTCTGAACACTTTTCGTTATACACTATAATCAGTGTATTGATTTTAAAATTGCCTTTCTTTCTCCCAAAGGGATAGGGAGGCTATTATGGTTGCAAATCCTCCAGAAGTTGCTAAAGAAAATGCAATTTTCAGATTCTAAAATTTCTGCTCCAGTATGGAGCTATTTCATATCTGGTTCCAAAGAAATTGGAATTTTCCATAGTGCTAAATGACTTAGGCAGCTTCTAAATCTGTTCTCCCCCCCTCCCCCCCCCCAACTTGGCCTAACATATTTCCAGCAGCCACTCTTTTGTAAAAGCCATGAAAAGGAATTTCCCAAGGTGCTTCCTTTGAATGTTGTTACCATAGCAGCAAAAGGAAGGAGACTGCCTCTTTTTTCTCCCAGATAATCTGCTTCCCCTACTTTCTTACTTCTCATCTACCTCAATTTGCACACATGTTTTACTATTGCTTTATTCCAATCAATCATTTTTAGAGATTGCTCGATGAAAAACATGGTAGGGAAATATTATAATATTTTATTCAAAAAGTATTGGAGAAAAAAGAAATTGCAATAACATAAACATGAACTCCAACTTAACATAAGAAACATGAGTTTCAACATTAGGGTGTTTGAATATTGTAATTGGTGAACCAGTAAGAAAGAAACAATTTTTAAGGATGAACAGGCTGTTCTTCAGTCTAGAAAAAACATAACACCTTGGTGTATATGGCACTTCCATAGAGAATCTTTTCAGCAGTTTAGAAACAGTTCCAAAGCTGTGAGATCTCACAATATTGGTTAAGAGAGAACTGAACACATGCTTCTTTTGGCTTTTCACCAGTTTATCTAAAATTGGGGCAAAGCTGATGGGTTTTTTGTTTTTTTTTGCAAAGTTTCAGATATCTAAAATACGTAACTGGTTGTATCTCTCACAGATGGAACTCTTGCTTCCTCCCTTTGACTATTCCTGTGCTATATGCGCATGCTATTAATTCTCAGGGCACTTAAGAGAAAAGATGGCTAAGCAACTTTGTGGCTTTCATAACATCGCAGGGATTGTTTTGACACAACTGACCATAAAAATTAAAGCAAGAACATGCTGGTAGTTATTTTCTGTTACACATACTCTGTAAAATATTTTAATATCAAAATATTTTTTGTATCATATAAGCTTTGCCAGGTAATATAAAGAGGAATGACAGAACAATAAAGATACAAAAAGCAAAGTAGAAGTTAAACTACTAATAAAACATAAGTAAAAATATAATAATAATAAACAACCTTTAGTAGTGCCTTTGCTCATTCTTTCCATTTATTTTCCCAAATGCTAACCACTACCAAGATATTTTTTGCTGTACTTGGACATAAAATGGTGGAGGTCATTATTAGTACCTAAAACATTTTATTTATCAGTTTAATTGATTTTTTTAACTCTTTTCCTAGAAAACAGTCTGAATTTGCTGTGTAATGTAATTTTTATAATTTATTTATTCAATTTATATAGCTGCCCATCTAACATATGTGATTCAATGTAGCTTGAAATAAAATACACAGTATGAAAAAATAAAAATGAAAAAGACAATAGTGGAGTCTCATCCAATCATACAGCCAGGAGATGATCTCTGTCACATGCGTAAGGGTCCTGAGTTTGAGCATAAAACTAAGTTTCAAGTCCTTATGGAAAGAAGCAGGGATGGGTCCAGCCTAATCTCATGGGGAATGATATCTCAAAGGGTGAGCCCCATAGCAAAAAAGGCTCTTCTTCTGGACCCCATGAGCCAACACTCATGGGGCAGAATCCAGAGCATGCTGCTCCTGGCAGGGTGGGTTCCAGCTTCTTTTACTGCCGGTTCACTCAGGGCCGTGCTTTGGGCGTGCACGCTTGGTGCACGCCTCCTATGGCGCCGCCAATAGAACCAGTTTGGGGGCGTGGCCAGCCAAGTTACTTCCTACTCGGCCGAACCAGTCCGAACCGGTAGGAACCCACCTCTGCCTCCTGCTGGGTCAAACAGGATGGTAGAGACAATTGGGAAAAGATGTAATTGGGAAAAGATCAGATGTAGTCCACACACCTTAAAGTTGCCAGGTTTGAGTTAAATTGTGGCTAAGTCTATCATATTAGTGCATATGATAATTTATTTATTCAATTTATATAGCTCCCCATCTAACATATGTGACTCAAGGTAGCTTGGAATAAAATACATAGTATGAAAAAATAAAAATGAACAAGACAATAGTGGAGTCTCATACAATCATACAGCCAGGAGATATTGATTCCCCCCCCCCAATATATAATAGCTCAGTGTAGCAGACAAAAAAGACCAATACAATCAAGATATTAAGGTAAAATGTTCATAGTTTTATGGACATTTAGATCATGGGTATTTACCATTCATTTTATGATGCCTGCTGAATAGAGCAGTAAAAACATGACAGGAATTTTAGTTTTTTCTATCACTTGTTTCCTGGCCGCACCCCCTATTCCCTCCTAAAAGTCATTAACTCCGATCACTTTTGCTTGTTTCCCTGCCACTTGCCAGTGGGGAAATTATGGTCTGGTTATTATTATGTTTGCTAACCTTTCCTTCTGTTAACTTTTTTTTCATCCTGGACTCATAAGTGGTGTTGAGTCTTAATTGGGGCTGTTCAATACAAATCAGCCAGCCACATTTTAGCCTGTTCTTTTCTACTAACTTCCAGCTTATTAGATCAGTTCATTTAGTGACTGCTAAAAGTTACAACACTAAAAAAAGTAACTTCTGTCTGTTTTTCACACTCATAACTATTGCAGCATTCTAACATCACATGATCAAAATTCAGACTTTTGGCAACTGACTCATATTTATGATAGTTGCAGTATCCTGTGGTCATGTGATCACCTTTTGTAACCTTCTGACAAGTGAAATCAATGGGGAAAGCAGATTCACTAAACAACCATGTTACTAACTTAACAACTGCAGTGATTCACTTAACAACTGTGGCAAAAAAGGTCATAAATGTGGCAAAAGTCACTTAACAAATGTTTCATTTAGCAACAGAAATGTTGGGCTCAATAATGGTCCTAAATCAAGGACTACCTATAACACTAGAAAACATAGAGTCTGATGGATGGAAATGCACATCAATAGTTGAAAAATTGACTAGAGAACAATCAAAGAGAGCTTTGTAACAGAACATTTGTTTATACGTGAATATTCCACATTCTTTCCCTGCCACCCATGTTAAAAGATTTATGAATGAGCAGAAAGACATAAGACTTTGAAGAGCTGTCTGTGATGGTAAATGTAATGTTGTGCTAGCTCGAGTATGATGCAGTTTGTTGCAAAAGGACCCATGAGGCTCTGAAAAATAAAATAATGCTATGTGGTGTAGAAATGATGGGGTAGCATGGCAGGCAGAGGCCAATGTGGAGGAGAGGGAGGATGAAATTAGCTAAGGGATGGAATCCTGAAAATTGAAAACTATGCCATACATAGAGGGGAAGTCTGAAAAATGGGATTGCAAAAAAATGAGGCAGTAGCAATCTTTACTGTACACAGAGAATTTTTTTTTAAAAAGGGAAAAAAGCAGTTTTGCATTATGTGATTAAAAAAACAAAACAAGTGCTGTATGGTCTGGAGAAATTCAGAGAGGAGAGTTAAAAGGAGACGCCCAGAGAAAGAGGTGGTTAATTGCTAAATAGGGGCCTTTCTACAACATCATGGTTCCATTCCCCAATCCTTCAAAAGCAGCCTGGAGCTGATTTGCAGTAATTTTCACTTCTAACGAATTCAAAATGCTGAACACAGCATGAGCCAATCAGTTCTTCCTACCAGTTGCCCACCAGAAGGCTCGGGTTAATGGCATTCAATCAGTACAATTCCAGCAGGTTGCACTCACATGCTTGATGATGTAAAGAAAAAAAAGTTGTTGCTTTTGCTCTATGAGAAGCAGGGGCAATTTACTTTGAGTGGGACCTTGGAGTCAAGGTGAGGTACATTCTCCCTAATGGAAAACGGATTGCCGATAAATTCTTCAGAGTTCTATCAGTGCAAATGGAAAATTTGCTTTTGACTAATTCTAGATGTGGTAGCAACTGAGCCAAAAATAAATCAGTTTAGATGCTGAATACAGCATAAGAGTATACACCTGGAGGCATCTTCTGAAACAAGGCAAAGATGCTATGTGAAACACAGGTTACAAAAAAAGTCTTCCATTGTGGCTATGGCTATGGCTATGCGGGACACTAGAATTAGCCCTTACATTTGGCTTTTCAGCTCAAGATTATAGGGTAATGAACATCAGTGTAGAGATTGGAACTATGGTAGCAACTTATGTTATCTTTCCAAACAATATACACTTGTCTGGAGAACTGAAGGCACTTTAAAAGCAAAGAATCCTTCAGTGTGATTTTAAATTCCTGCTTGTTTGGAGTACAAGTAGTATGAATATATTTGCACGTAAGCACATTTTCTATAGGCCTTCAAATAGATATATGTAAAGGAAGAAACTTGCTATCATGAGCTTTCCTATTCTGTGATAATTAATTCAACTCTCACATTGTTTGAAAAATTATCTTAATATAGACCGAAGAGTGAATGAGATTGCAATGAGTGGTGTGATGGCCTAGTGGCAAAGATTTTTGCCTCCCATTCGGAAGGTTGAGAGCTCAGTCCTAGGGAGTGGCAGATGTTCATCTCTATCCAGTGGCCCAAACTCTACCCCGAATTTAGGGATTATAGGGTCACAAAAAGAGAGTTTAGTGAATTAAATTGCACAATTCTTACATAAGAATATAGGCAGCCTGGTTTTAGTCTTCCCATTAGTAAAAAAAGTAAAGGATTGTATATAAATAACAATACTATGAACATTTTAATTAAACTGAAGTGAATTAAGTATTGCCTGATACCAATGTAAATACATGCTTTTTGTGGTAATAATTTTTTCTTTTTTTAAAATCTCTTGCAGCAGGAGCAACTTCCTCACCAGATCAACCAGACACCGGTACCTCGCATGCCCAGTGGTTGCACAGAACCAGGTAAACATGTCTTTCTATCAAGAGGTTTTGGTACCTTGTAATTAATTTTGGATTTGGGGTAAATGAGTTTCCAGCTTTTACCTCTGCATTTCTTTAAATTTTTGGAATTCTGTTCTTACCATAGTCTCAATAAATTACATGTATTCTAATGCAAATCTGCTGCATTTAATTTCTGTTGAGTACTGAGATATAAACGCATCCTCAATGAATGTTTCATTGCCAATCTTTTCTCCTGACTTATTTATTTGTTCCTTGGTAGCGTTTTATTTTCACTTGTTTTCTTTTCCTTTGGGTGTACTTAAGGTGGATAATTTTAACCAATTTCATTGTATTTAAGTACAATGACAATAAAGATTATACTTATACTTAAAAAAACCATTAAAAACCCAGATTAAATGTCCTAATAAAATAGATAGCATAATCATCTAATAGTTGAAAGCCTGTTTAAAGAAATGATAGGATTTTTAAAGGAATATGTTTCATACTCTGAAAGAAACACAAGAAGTCTTCTCCTGAATTTAAAGTGGAGATTTGATTTTTATTTTATCGCATTAATTATTGTACTTTATTTTATTTATTATTTTATTTTATTCAATTTATATAGCCAACTGTCTCACATTTGTGACTGGGCAACACACTGTTTCAAAACAACTAATAAACAAAATATAGGAAAACAGTAAAAACAAAATAATCATTAAGATCAAATAAAAAACTTAAACTAAAATTACCATGTCCCCCCCAAAGCCCCTCGCCCACTAAAAGGTAGGCAAGTGCAAGTCGTGAATCAATCATAGCCATTTCTTTGCTATATTTTACTCCAGTTGCAACTGATGAACACTCTTCAAGGAATAGCCTGAACCTTTTCTCCCCAATGTCTAATGGAATATGTAGCCAGTTGAAAAATTTCCTTTGTGGCCGGATAACCTTGGTTTTAACTCAGAAATCACAATATTGGTTCTCACCTTGAGCTACTTGCTATTTTATTAAGTTATCTGAAGTGCCATTCACATGCATATAAAATCCAATACTAAGCGTACTTTAACATGTGAAGATTGCCCAGAGTCTTCTATGCTTCTTGCAAACAGGAAATTTCCTATTTAGGTTTCTATCACATACTACCCCAGGATTCTTCAGAATTCGGGCCATTTTCCAGTTGGAGGAAAAAAAATTTTTCCCCTCAAATTAGTTTTTTTTAGTTTAGTTTTTTAGTTTTATTGCAATTTTATATGCCGCCCTTTTCCCTGAGGGGACTCAGGGCGGCTTACAACAGTAAAGGGAAGGGAGTGCAAGACAAGACTTAAAAAGAAAAGAATCGTGATTAAAGGAAATTGGCCATAAAAACACAACATTCACTCAACATTCGGGCGGGGTGAGAGTAATCCTATCCCCAGGCCTGACGGGATAGCCAGTTCTTGAGGGCTGTGCGGAAGGCCTGGACTGTGGTGAGGGTGCGGATCTCCACGGGGAGGTTGTTCCATAATGTCGGAGCAGCAACTGAGAAGGCTCTCCTCCGCGTAGTCGCCAGTCGGCACTGACTGGCGGATGGAATTCGGAGGAGGCCTACTCTGTGCGATCTGATGGGACGCAGGGAGGTAATTGGCAGGAGGCGGTCTCTCAAATAGTCAGATCCACTACCATGGAGCGCTTTATAGGTGGTAAGTAAGACCTTGAAGTGCACCCGACGATCAACAGGTAGCCAGCGCAGCTCACGGAGGATTGGTGTTATATGGGCGAACCGTGGTGCGCCCATGATCACTCGCGCGGCCGCGTTCTGGACTAGCTGAAGTCGCCGGATGCTCTTCAAGGGCAGCCCCATGTAGAGCACATTGCAGTATTCCAGCCTAGAGATCACAAGGGCTCGAGTGACTGTTGTGAGAGCCTCCCGGTTCAGGTAGGGCCGCAACTGGCGCACCAGGCGAACCTGGGCAAATGCCCCCCTGGTCACAGCTGACAAATGGTGGTCAAAACTCAGCTGTGGGTCCAGGAGGACTCCCAAGTTGCGGACCCTATCTGAGGGGGGCAAAATTTGCCCCCCCAGCCTGATTGATGGAACGTTAACCAAATTAATTTTGATGATGTTCATTTTGGAATGGAGAAACTGCATTTTTCCCCCTGGTTACATCCCAAAGAATAATTGGAGTTTACAATACTATCTCTCACTGGAAATACAGTAAATCTTTTGTTCAGAAAGAAATGGTTTTCCATTGATTGATATTGTGAAAGATAAATGCAGTTAAGAATTCCTGGACACAAGTTACTGAAAATGAACAGAGTGTATGGTGTATGAATACTCATGCAAAATTAGAACTAAATATGTAGCTAAATTAAAAGAAGATCTAATTAAATAATAATTGTTGGTCTTATTTTAAAACTTAGAATATATAAAGGGCAAATAATCTAATTCATTAACCCTCATCCTGCCTATCCTCACCTCTTAGGAAAATGCTTTTCACCTATGAGCAACCCAGGTAGTGTTTCGTACCCAAAGTGCTCAGATCTTGACAATAAATAGGTTCAGTCTATTATGTCTTTGAGTGTCCAGTAATTGAGATTTATCTATGAAATTTTGAAAACTCCAGGGACTGTTCTAGAAGATTTCTGTTAACCAAAATGAAGCTCTGCTTTGCAACACCGAGGCTCCATGAAAACATATAGCCAATTATTTGTTGGCAGGATTTTTTCTTACCAAAGAAGGGAGATGGGTTGAGATGATTACGTGTCTCAGGTACCCAGCTGACCTGATATAGATAGCTGTGACACTGAGCTGTAATACTTAAGACATGTTTTCTGAAAGGAAGGCAACAACTATCTCTTGTATTTTTGCACTGAGTTTGAATAGAAAGCAGCAAAAATATTTCTTCCAATAGATGGTGAGCATTAAGATGATTTCTTCTCTCAGACATCTCAACTGGTATGCATTGGAAGAAATCATATCATATAAATTAGTAGTGGGTAGTTATGCTAGATATTTTAGTATAATTGTATCAGAATGATATCATAACATTATGTCAGTATATATAGAGAGAGTTTTCTATACTATTCCTTGTCTGATCACATCATTTGTCCTTTGATTACCTATTTTTCCATATATGATATCCTTCTTCAATATATAATACGTGTTCTTTTCTCCCAGAGTGTTTATTTTCTGCATTGAACAACTACATTACTCCTGGGCTTCCTAAACTGCGCCGAAGAAGACAGGTAAATTTACTACCTTACAGTAATCACCAGTTTTAAAAGCAGAAGAGCAAGAATATGAATTTACTGTACTTGAAAAACAGAACACAATTTATAATATGACCTATCAAAACATGACCTATTATGCTGGGATGGTCCAGACCGGGCAGTTTTGACGTTTGAAGTTTTATTTTATTTATATGCCGCCCTATTCCCTAAAAGGGACTCAGGGCGGCGAACAACTCCAACGGGAAGGGGAACATACAAATACAAAACAGACATTTAAAATAACCAACAACCACACCTGTCGAGAGGGGAAGGGAGCTCATCAATGCAATGCAATGCAATGGTTAGACTTATATACCGCTTCATAGGGCTTTCAGCCCTCTCTAAGCGGTTTACAGAGTCAGCATATTGCCCCCAACAACAATCTGGGTCCTCAACCCCAGGCCTGCCGATACAGACCTTCCTCTACAATCTTTTTCTGCAATTGAGAATCAAGATCACATGAAGTGTTAATACCACTTTATAATGCCTGGGAAAGACCATTCTTGGAATAGTACATTCAGTTTTGGTTGCCACAATATAAAATAAAAATGCTGAGACTCTGGAAAGAGTGCAGAGAAGTGTAACAAAGATAATTAGATAATTATGAAGAATAGTTACATAAATTGGTTATGCCTAATCTAGTGAAAAGAAGGACTAGGGGTAAGTCTTCCAATATCTCAGGGCCTGCCACAAAGAAGAGGGGGAGTCAACCTACTCTCCAAAGCACCTGAGGGCAGGACAAGAAGACAATGGATGGAAACTAATCAAGGAGAGAATCAACCTAGAACTAAGGAGAAATTTCCTGACAGTTAGAACAATTAATCAGTACAACTATTTGCCTCAGAACTTGTGGCTGTCCCATCACTGAAGATTTTAAAGAAGAGATTGGACAGCCATTTGTCCAAAATGGTATAGAGTCTTCTGCTTGACCAGGGGGGTTGGACTAGAATAGCAAACCCAACCTTTCCAACTTGGCAGCCCAGCCTGGCACGAGCGGAAGGTGCTTGTGTTCACGTGTGAAGCTTCACTTGTGCAAGTGGAAAGTGCCTGCGTGCAAAGCTCTGTTCATATGTGAGTGGAGCTTCATGTGCATATGCTTACCCACTGTTCACGTGAGTGGAGCTTCGCTCACGTGCTTGCCCATTGCATGTGCAGTCCGGTTTGAAACAGGCTGCCATCTGGCAGTAGGCTGTGGCCTGGGAGTTGGGGACCCCTGGATTAGAAGACCTGCAAGATCTCTTCCAACTCTGTTATTCTGTTATCTTCATGGAGTTTGCTTCCCATGCAGTATACAACCAGACATAAGCAGTATTAATACTTTACACACATGTCAATCTAAAAATCTCAGAGTCCCCATACTCAATGAACTATCATCCAATTTTTCAAAATACAGGGAAGACACCCTATTGTTCTCTTTCTCCCATGGAGGCAATACTTTCCTAAGCAATCTATTAGTGGCTACTTAAGGCTTTTCAAAGAGGAAATGTTTCATAAGAATAGAAGTTATTTATTTGCATTTATGTTTTATAGGTACTGATAAACTGCTTATTCAAATTAAGCACTGTTATTTGGAAAAATTTGTAAGTCTCCAGTTGTCTAACTTGGTCCAATTTACTTCATTTATTTATTCTTTTAAATGGATAGCACAAAACAGGTTAACTTCTCTTCCTCTATATTTTTAAGGGTATTGGTCTAGAAATCAGGATACTCTAAGTTTTAGTCCTGTTTTAGCCATGAAAACATAAAGTAATAAAGGCAAGATAAAAATCTAATAAATAAGATTAACAAAGATCCTTGTTTATTTCATTTGAAAACCTTATTGTAAGAAATTCCTTTACTATTTTGGGATTGCAATTAAATTTTTATTTTAGAATAACAAATGGCAGGTAGATAAATTCTCACATTCCAAACAGCAAGTCTTGTGAGCATCCCAATTAGTGCACTATAGCATCATGTTTAACATGTTGGATTAAAAGTATGAAAATCTAGGTTCAAATCCACTCTCAGATCAATAAGTGTATGAAGATAATCTCTTAGCTCAACCTATCTCACATAGTTATTCTAGGGATAGAATATATGCCCCCGTTCCCAGATGAGAGAAAACAAGAACAATGCAATAATAAAATATTAATTACACTGAATATTGCATAATTGTTATTGAAAAGAGAGGTATGAAAGTGCTGTGATTAAAATCATGTTTGAGTTAGTTTTGACTGATTATATACAACATCTTAAAGTTTTATAGCATTCCACAACTTAGAAAGCTTGATATATAATATATACCAGCTTTCTCCAGTTGCACTTTGGATGTATTGAGCTGCTTTTAATACGTAACTATCTGCAGGAATTAAGCTGTGCCTAAATAACACTAGGTTGTGGAAGATTGATGGAATCCAATCCTCTGATTGAGCTTGCTTACTATAAAATGTAGGAGAACGAATATGGGAACATACAAAGGCCTGTGTATGAAATATGTTCCTGGGCACGAATGGAGAGGCCCTTCTTAGAGCAGGAAAGTTACCAATGTAAATGTGTCTTCTTCTTCCCATCCCAGGTTCACCGAGGTCATCGGACTGTCCACAGTGAGACCAAATTCATTGAATTGATAATTGTTAATGACCACCAACTGGTGAGTACTGTTAATGGCATAGAAAGACAAATGTGGATGGGTTTGTTTTTGCAGATCCTTTAAAATGCTTTGTGGAGAGAAGCAAATGAATTGCCTGCTAAACCTGTATCTTTGAGCAATTTGGCAAATAAAAATCAGAACGTTTTTCCTTTCAGTATCTTAAGTCTGATTTCTTTTCTTTTCTTGTTTTTAAATTGGTCAGTATATCCTCTGTCAGGATCTCTTTCACAATGCTATTCGCAATTCAGATAAACTGTCCATCAGCTGAGCTTGCTGGATCAATATAATTACACTGTCAGTATGACCAGTGTAGATTGATAAAGTACAGACAAAGCTTTCCAAAGATACTATGTCTTCCATTCTGACCCCTCCTCCAGCCTGTGAGTAACGCAGACACAAGCTTGGCTATTTGCCACTCTTTAATAATTACAACTCCGTTGGCTGAAAGCCCAGACAACACTCTCATGCAAGAAGGGTTTCCAACTTGGCAGCCCAGCCTGGCACTAGCGGAAATACAAAACAGACCAGACAAGAGTTCCTCAAAACTGTTACGAACGGTTGTGTCCTGCAAAAGGACCCCTCCCAATTTCTCACTTATATACTCTCTTGGGAGGGGCCAAGCCACAACAATCTGGGCTTGATTATCGCTTATGAGTCTGCCTCTGCAGCTGCTGCTTCCGTTTCTCCGCCCTCCTTTGACTGGTGTCAGGAACAAACTGCCTTGAGTCCTCCCCACTGCTCCATGCCTCAGGCACCTCCTGGTGGCCAACCAGCCTCTCTGGTCCCTGCTCTGAGTCTGAACCCTGCCCAGGGTCCTCCACATCTTCCATAGCAGACTCATAGGGTTCCTCACTATCCGAGTCCATCAGCAGCTCAAATGGATCCTGCTGGGCCACATTATCCCTCACCACAGGGCCCTTCCCCCGGGTCTGATGCTCAGGGTGCAGCCTCGAGTGATATTGTGTATGGTAGACCCGCACCAAAGCAGGGGCATGTATGTCCGTCGCATCGACCCGAGTCCCCCTATCCGACCCATCGTCCTTCCAGTCCACCAAGTATTGGAAACGTCCCTTTAGCCATCTCGAGTCTCGGATCCTGGCCACTTCATGCGGGAGCTGCGTCTCAACCTCATGCGGTGACGGCTGGAGCAGAGACAGTTGGTGGAGAGGTCAAGCTGACCGCTCAGGGATCAGGAGCGAGAGATGGAACACCGGGTGCACTCGCATCAAGCGTGGCAGGGTCAGGCGATAGGCCATCGGGTTGATGACGGCCTCCACAGGGAACGGCCCAAGATACCGGTAGTCCAAGTTCTTAGCCAGCTGGTAGGACAAAAGATGCCGTGTGGACAGTCACATGCGATTTCCCACAGCCAACTCTGGCACCACACGCCGAGACCTATCCGCCACCCTCCTGGAGTCCTCCTTTGCTTTATTCAGATAGTGGCACACCACTTGGTGTACCGCCTGGAGCTCTGAGAGGAAGTCATGTGCTGGGTGGACCGGGGAGTCGACTGAGTAAGAGGGAAGAAGCGAGGGTGATACCTGACATTAGCCATGAAGGGCGTCACCTGTGTGGAGGTATGTTGCGAGTTGTTAAACACAAACTCTGCCACAGCCAGGTACTCCACCCAGTTGTTCTGCTGCTGATTCACGAAGCAGCGCAGGTACTGTTCCAAGATCCCAATCACCTTCTCTGTCCCCTGTCGGTTTTGGGATGGTGTGCCGAGGACAAGCAAACCTGGACGTCCAGAGCCTCCATCAGCCCTTCCCAGAACTGGGCCGTGAATTGCATCCCACAGTCCAACATGACCCGATCAGGTAGGGCATGCAGCCGGAAGATGTGCTGGATGAACATGCGGGCGGTAGCGCGGGCTGTCGGCAATCTCTGACATGGGATGAAATGTACCATCTTTGTGAGCATGTCCACCACCACGAGGACAGTGGTAAATCTTGAAGATGGAGGCAGTTCCATCAGAAAGTCCATGGACACAGCTCCCCAGGTCTGTCCAGGATTGGCAATGGCTGAAGCAGGCCTGGAGGAGTTCCCACCGCTGACTTGGCCTGCCGACACTGTACACAAGAGGTGGCATACATCTGTACGTCGTGTTGCAAGCAGGGCCACCACAAAGTACTGGAGACCAGGTTCAAAGTCTTGAAAAAGCCAAAATGTCCCGCCGCCAAGTTATCATGACACTGGGAGAGAATAAGTCCCTGGATGGGCCCTGCGGGCACATAGAGCCGATCCCGGTACCTCAAGAGGTCATTGTCGAATGTCCATCAGGAGGCCAGCCCTACCTCTGCCCTCCGTTGCTCCACCCACTTGTCACACCACTGCACATCCCATATCTGAGACTGTAAGTCCACGGGCTCGTGAACTGCAGCAAAGGATTCGAAGGGCAAAACTGTCTGGGGTGCAAGTGAGTCTGCAGTGTCAGAGTACTCCGGTTTCCGGGACTGGGCATCTGCTGTTTGGTTTTGCGCACTCGGGATGTAGGTCACCCTGAAGTTGAACCGGGCAAAGAACAGATGCCACTGGATCTGAAGCTGGTTTAACTTGCAGGCTGTTGTCAGGAACTCTAGATTCCTATGGTCCATTTGGACCTCGGCTTGATGCCTGGCCCACTCCAGGTGATGCCTCCAGGTCTCAAATGCCACCTTAATGGCCAGTAACTCCTTCTCCCAGATGGTGTAATTGTGCTTGGAAGGATTGAGTTTCCACGAGAAGAAAGCACAAGGGAAAGGGGTACCCGCTAGGGGCGTGAGCCTGCAGTAACACCATGCCCACCGTGATGTCAGACGTGTCCGCCTCCACCACAAACGGCCGATGGAGATCAGGGTGCTTCAGGATCGGCTCCTTCATGAAGCCGTGCTTCAGGGCCTCGAACACGTATTGTTCCATGGGCCCCCAGCGAAATAGCACTTTCTTCTGCAGAAGCCAAGTGAGGGGCGCAGTCAGGAAAGCGAAAGTGGGGATGAAGGGCCGGTAGTAGTTGGCAAACCTGAGGAGTTGTTGGACATCCTTCACTTGCCAAGGAGGTTGCCAACTGCGTAATGCTTCTACCTTGCCCAGCTCCATCACAATTCCTTCAGGGGAGATACGGTGCCCCAGGAACTCGATGGTAGTCTGCCAGAACTGACACTTCTCCAGCTTTGCGAACAAATCATGCTTCCGGAGTCGTTGCAAGACCTGACGTAGGTGCTGCAGATGATCCTTCCAAGAAGTTGATTAAATCAAAATGCCGTCCAGGTAAATGATGACAAACTGATCCAAGTGGTCCTGGAAGATATCATTAATAAAGTGCTGGAAAACTGCTGGGGCGTTAGTCAATCTGAATGGCATGACTGTGTACTCAAAATGTCCATACTGGGTGCTGAAGGCCGTCTTCCATTCGTCCCCTGCCCGGACTCAGACCAAGTTATAAGCACCGTGCAAGTCCAGTTTCATGAACAATGTTGCCTCCTGGAGCCACTCCAACAATTCAGGAGCAGTGGGTAATGGTTGTGCACTGTGATGGCATTCAAGTGATGATAATCGCAACATAGTCTCAGATCCCCAGTCTTCTTTTTGCTGAACAAGACCGGGGCAGACAGTGGCAAAGACAAAGGCCGGATAAAACCCGGGTGAGGTTCTTGTCCAGAAAGACCAGCAATGTGGCCAACTCCGGCTCGGACATGGAGTACAGGCCACCTAGAGGGAGCTTCGTGTCTGGTACCAAGTCAATGGGGCAGTCATAAGGCCAGTATGGCGGCATTTGGTCCGTCTCCTGCTTTCTGAAGACGTCTACGAACTCCGCTAAGTCTGGCGGCAAGGACATTCCGGGTGAACTGAGCACCTGGCCTGTACAGACATGACGGGTGTGGTCAATACATTGCAGGGATGGGAACATGATCAGGTTCTGCGACTAATAAATCTGAGGGCCATGAGCCTGCAGCCAAGCCAAGCCCAGGACCACAGGGAAATGCAGGCCCGAAGCAAGGTAAAACTGGATGGCCTCTTCGTGATCCCTGAGAACCAAGCGGAAAGGCTGCATGGCGGCCTTGATAGGCCCAGACAGGAGTACCCGGCAATCAATGGTCTTGACCAGCATCGGTGGGTCCATCGGACACAGAGGGACAGCATACTTGGTCGCAAATGCCTTGTCCATGAAGTTTGTGGTAGCCCCAGAATCGACCAGGGTGTGGGCTGGAATCCCCGGTGGACTACCAGACAGGAGAATGCGTACTGCCAAGATCATGTGCCAGAAAGGGTTGTCCATCTCTGTTTCAGTGTGCGCCCGACCCAAGGTCTTCCTCAGATCGGGCTCCAGCCATTTCCTGACAAGTTGTTCTGGAGCTGAGGGGTAGGCCCCAGACCTCGCAACCCCCCTACTCTTCTTGGGGCAAGATGTAGCCAAGTGTCCAAGATCCCCGCAATAGAACCACAACCCCCCTGCATGCCATCTGTCCATCTCCGTTCGCGACAAGCGGGGTTTGGTGGCGCCCAAATCCATGGACTCCTCCCGTGGAGCTAGGGTCCATCCGAGTCCATCAGCAGCTCAAATGGATCCTGCTGGGCTACAACAGTCTTCAATTGGTAATTTGTTTGTTTATTTCTTTTGTTGCAGATCTATGTTTTGTGCTATGCATTCACAGCAGAGTTACTAATGAATCCCTGATAATTATAGACAATTATTCAAAATTGTGATAGGGGCCTTTAATTTATGATTTTATTATTTAATATGCAAAATGATGTTATTCTTTCCTAGCATGTTCAAATAACAATGATGAAATAACATGTATAATGAAAAGTTCTTTCTCAATATTAAACAGACTGACAAATTGAAGACCACTACCAGATGACTTATCAGTAATGTTGCTATTAATCTGAATTCTTAATGACTTTATGGATTCTTCCATATGGGAAACTATGAAATATTTATTTATTAAATGTATACGCCTCCATCATTATCAAAGTGATTCATTTCAAATGGTTTGACACTGTCTTCTTCCAAGTTATTATTATGACATCCCAATGTAGTCTATATCCTTGACCTATCTTACTGAATTAATTAGTAATTAATTAAATAATTATACTACCAGGAAATACTTGAGTTGCAGACCAGACTGAGACTAACTAAACTGAGACCAGACTAAAAATATCTGATATGTCCCCAAAGTTATCAACATCCAAGCAGGGGTTGGCTTTTTATCAACAGCAGTTGAGCTTGATTCAAATGGAACTTCTTTATTCCAAGCAGGAAGTTTTTTGCAGGAAGCAAAAAACTGGATCAGTGCTTGAATACTTGCTCAGTTAAAGATGTGATCAAAGAGTGCTACTTTGGTTAGAAAATCTTGGAATTATTGAGTTAAAAGGAATCAGTAATCTGATTCTCTACAGGAGGCTGCCATTGAAATATATTCAGAAGCTACAACTGATACTGACCACAGAGACAGTTCTGGAGGCTCTTGGGTGGACTATTTCACGGCACTATTTTCACACTGCACTGATTGTAATCTGCTTCTGGATCCAGTTCATGGAGTTGGTTATCATCTTCAAAGGCCTTTGTGGCATGAGTCCAGAGTCCAGAGTATCTAAGAAAAGGATCTCCAAGCTTTTCTGGCTTGGGAATTCTGGGAGTTGAAGTCCACCAGGCTCAAAGTTGCCAAGATTGGAGACCCCTTATCTAAGATGATGTCTCTCCCAAAGGGGTTGGCCTATCCTCCTTACTCCAGCCTACTTTGGATCTTATCTGCCAAAGAATTTACGGTTGGTGGGGTCCAAGGGAAAAGCCTTTTGTGGCCCCTGTCCTTTGGAATATTCTCCTGCCAGAGTTGAGGTCCACCCTTCTGGTCTTTTCAAAAGAGCTTTAAAACCTGGCTCTGCTGGGGGACCTGATAGGAATGCTTTATGCTGGGGTGGCTTGCAGGGTAGAGAGAAAATCTCCACCCCTGTTTTGCCTGCCCGCTTTATTTTTAACCTCCATTTATTTGTTCTTAATTTTAGTCATTTAGTATTACCATTTTTAAACATTTTGTAAGCTTCCTAGATTTGCTGCAACAGTAAAATGGGTGGCATATGAAATCAATCAAACAAACAAACAATTCAGTACAAGTTTCAGGAAATTATTTACATGGGCTTATTTCTGTGCAAACATGATAAAAGTTCATGCCTAAGAAGGAAATCATTTCCAAGAATGTATGCATGTGTTAAGAGTGGAATTGACCTAATGGCTGCTTTTTTAAGTTGGGGAAAGTCACTTCATGAAGAAAGAGGTAGAGAGAGGAAGACCCTCACTATACTGCTTCAGCCTCAGTTTTCATCAGATGACGATTGAGTTTCTTGAAACTATTTGTTCTGTATCTATTCTCTTCCAGTTTGAACAAATGCGTCGCTCAGTCAGCCTTACCAGCAACTTTGCAAAGTCTGTGGTAAACCTTGCTGATGTGGTGAGTGTGGAGTGCATTGCAGTTTTCTCCAAAAATTACATGCAAAAATATATTGAGAATGAAAAAAGAGAAAACCTGGCCCAATGCAAAGGATTCCATGGTAGGTCCCTTCTATAGGCCACCATCAGGTACAACGAAGTGACTCAGTCTATTGAGTTGTAGATCACTCTCACATATATGTAGTCTTAAATCCCAGCATCTCATTTCCACAACACATTGCGGCTAAGTGTCTAAGCACAAATAAACATTGGCTTTCAAGTATCCACAATAATTTTTAGACAATGTTTAGACACAGGTGTTTTCATACCTAGTGCATGCCACATTCAGTATGATTAAAACAGTTAAATATTTTCCAATAATTCTGCTTGAGAAAAATGATCTGTCTCTCATATTGTGACCCCATTTCTAATAAAGAGGTACTATAAAGATTAGAGGGACATGGTGGCTCAGTGGCTAAGACGCTGAGCTTGTTGATAAAAAAGATTGGCAGTTTGGCGGTTTGAATCCCTAGCATCACATGAGTGAGCTTCCTTTATTTATCCCAGCTTCTGCCAACCTAGCAGTGCAAAAGCTCATCAAAAATGTAAGTAGAAAAATAGGAATCCCCTTTGGTGGGAAGGTAACAGCGTTCGGTGCATCTTCGGCGTTTAGTCATGCCAGCCACATGACCACGGAGATGTCTTTGGACAGCGCTGGCTCTTCAGCTTTGAAATGGAGATGAGCACCATCCCTTAGAGTCAGGAACGACTACCCTTACCTTTTACAAAGATTAGATTTAAAACTTCTGTTGAGAACTGTGCATGAATGTCAAATGTAGCTTGTTGGTGATGTCTTATGCATGCCTAAAGACCAGCCTCCAAAAATTGCACTATGTTGGATATCTCCTGGAGGAAAGACGAAAAAAGGCCAGCCTCAGGGAACTTAAAGAAGATCTTAAGATTATTAGTGTCCCTAGGGCTGATGCCTAAGATGCTGCAAATGATTGAAAACCACTTCAAAACTCTTGCTGCCCAATGTGTTCTGCACAGGATCTGATGATGATGATGAAGCCGACATACCAAATTTTAATTCTCATAATTAGCTTAAGAAATGCAAATTTAGTTGGCCACACTTGTTGAGAAAATTTTTTCAGTTATCTTTATATTCTCCACTCACTCATCTTTTTGTTTTAAATCAGTAAACCCTTTAAAGAAAGAATTATAGACAAGGAGAGATGAAATATGTGTTAAATGGGTAAAGGGTAAGTAAGCAAAATACTAATAGTAAGATACAAATAAATAAACGAGATCTAAATTGCCTTGGAGACTACAGTTCTTACATAAAATATTACTTACATATGTAATTACAAAACGTATCAGCTTTTAAAGAAAAAACTAAGAATAACTATTAAGTTTTAAGCTAATAAAAATAGTATAGCATAAATCAGTAATTAAAATTATAAACTGTAATAGATTGAATTTAATTTTCAAAATAAATTCTACTCTCCATAGAAAACTCCCATATTTTATATGCCTTTGATTCTTTGAATGAAAGAATGGCTAGCCAAATTGTGAGTGTGTGCTTTGATGTCTAGAATAAATTTGTATTTTTTAAAAAATAATTTTATTACAATTTATTTTTTATATTTAAATATTTAGACTTAATCTTAAACAATATTATTCAAGATTTCTTTTTGTTTCTAATGAAAAGAATATAATTTCCTTGTAACAGCTAACACATACAAAACTAATTCAATATACTTTGAAGGATTGTATATATTGGTAAAATTTAATACATGTTGCAACTAGGAATTCAACTTTTATAATATGTATAATTTTAATGGAAATTTATTCCCCAAAGTGCTGAGTTTTCAGTATTACTGTCAAATATGAAGCAATCATCTTCACAACAGAAATCATCTTATTTTCAACATTTTAGTAAATGAAAGAAATATGTCAATAATAAAACAACAATAATAATATTACAATATTCAAAGTAATTTTAATCCCCCCCCCTCACTAAAAATAGATGTGAAAATAAATTGTGGGTAGGAAATAAACTGCTTTAATCTTCATTTAACTTCAAGGATACATTTGGAAAATTATGGCTGCTTGGAAAATGGGAAGGATATCACATATGGAAGGGGGAAAGTCTCCACCTTTAAAAAAAATCTTTGTTGGGTCACAGATTTTTAAGGAGCAGCTGAACACTCGTATTGTGTTGGTTGCCATGGAAACATGGGCATCAGGGAATAAGATCCAGACGGATGAAGATTCCCTCGAGACACTGAGAGAGTTTATGAAGTATCGTCAAGAGTCTCTTCCTGAACACAGTGATGCTGCTCATCTCTTCTCGTGAGTTTTAAACGGGAATGTGATCACTTTTATGTTAGAAAGATACAAAATTAATTATTATAGTTCTGATAGTAAGAATAGGCTGAAGTAATGTGTAAGGGATGTTAAAAAAATCTATGCACTTAATGAAACTTTTCTTTTGCGGAACAAGTTAGCCAGAAGATTGCTTTGCTGGTAAGCACACATAATATATCTCCTGGTATTGTAGCAAAAGGGACACGGTGGCTCAGTGGCTTAGGTGCTGAGCTTGTCGATCAGAAAGGTCGGCAGTTCGAATGCCTAGGGGTGTGTAATGGAGTGAGCTCCCGTTACTTGTCCCAGCCTCTGCCAACCTAGCAGTTCGAAAGGAAAAATGCAAGTAGAAAAATAAGAAACCACCTTTGTTTGGAAGGTAACAATGTGCGCCTTCAGTGTGTAGTCATGCCGGCCACATGACCATGGAGACGTATTCAGACAGCGCTGGGTCTTCCTCTTTGAAATGGAGATAAGCACTGCCCCCTAGATTTGAGAATGACTAGCAAGCAAAATGGCTTTCTATTATATGTTCCCTTTTATTTATATTCTGTTTTAGACCTTTAGAATAACATAGAGACATTCTTCGTTTATGAAGAGTATTAATTAATATAGTAGAAATAAGATGTTGGCAAAAAAGAAAACTTTGCCTGATTTATAGTGCTTTATAGTTAGTCTTCATTCAGTGACTGCTTCATTTAGCAATTGTTCAAAGTTAGAAATAGCACTTAGCACATAGTCTTATATACCACTTCATAGTGCTTAATAGCCCTCTCTAAGCAGTTTACAGAGTCAACATACTGCCCCCAACAATCTGGGGCCCCATTTTACTCAGAAGGATGGAAGCATGGTAATGAAAAAATGACTTCATGACCCATAATCACATTTACAGCCTTTGCAAGTATGTAAAGCAAAGGAAAGCCAAAGTAAGATTCCAAACACAGGTGTGCTTTCACTTAACAATCATTTCACTTAATGACTGAATTGCTGGTCCTATTTAAGGTGACTAAACATGGACTACCTGTATTAGATAATAACTGTATTACATGTTAAAATTATATAAGAGGCTCTCTAATATCTCTAATTAATATACTACTAAAATTAATGCCAGTTCTAGAAAGCGTGATTTTTAAAATAACAATTGCTTGTGATTCGTGATTAAAATACTGTATATAGATTCATTTTATCAGATCTCAACAAAACAACAACAAGTTTGAATTAATGTAGATCAGCATATAAAATATGGCACAGCAATGCCCATTTGGACTTAGTGCTAAGGTCAGAATTTTTAACGAAGGTAACAGACTGATGCAAAGAAATGACCAATCCATACTCTTGCCGTATTTTGATAGTTTTCATTGTTCCAGGTTTAGTAAGTGAATGCGAACAGGACAAAAAATCTAGCAGGTCAAGGCTATCTAGCTTTCCCTTCACCTGCATAGTAAATATTCCTTCTTACTCTCCCAGAGGGCACACTTTTAGAAGCAGCCGCAGTGGTACAGCTTACATTGGCGGAATCTGCTCAGTTGCTAGAGGTGGCGGTGTGAATGAGGTGAGTTGGGTTATGATGACTGGGGCTGGAGTTTAAAGGTACAGAATCAAAGCCTGCATGCTCTTCCGACTGTAACAAATTTGTCTGTTCTAAGATCTCAAGCTCATTTAGATTTCTTTTCTCATCTTGCAACTCCTGAGGCTTTGAAGATCCTTTTCCCTCGTGAGATACTACTCTTCTGCCCTTTAAAACCCTTTCAGGATCCCTTATTTTCTGTGAAGCCTTGTCTCCACACTCTAACTGAACTAATACCTATGATTTTTGCCACTACATTTGCTGACATTCATCCCTTATGCTTCCTTCCTCCTCCACTGTTTTCCCCTTCAGTCAACTAAATTTATACTATAAGACGATTGGAGTGGTGCTTCCCTTGTTCCTTTACATGATTCTGCAAAGTAGCTGATGTACTGATAGGGTTCTTTACATGTCAATCATAGCCAGGAATTCATTGTTTTTTTCAGGGTGAGGAATATGTCCACAGAGAGAAAGGGCGGGGTGGGTTAACTTCCATGGGGCCTGTGAATAATCTGGAAAAGATCTGCTCTCAAAATTTTAACATTTTTATGATAGTTGATCTCTCCATACTGAGCCTATCCAATAACTTGTTGTCCTCCTTCCCAAAGTATGGTACCGTTGGAGCGATGGCAGTAACATTAGCCCAGACCTTGGGGCAAAACATTGGCATGATGTGGAACAAGCACCGTGCTTCTGCAGGTAAGTAACTGTGTGATGAGCCAAGTGTTTTCCTAGTCTCAAAGCATAATGAGAACCCGAGAATTGCTTAGACCAGTTCTCAACCTTTTCTTCACCACAACCTCCCTTTAAATACCTTTTGTGGCCATGAATTATGGCTAGAGACCTCCAAGACTTCACTCGAAATTTAAACCATAACATTTCTTCAAGCCTTCGCAGACTCCATATGATCACATCACAGCTCCCTAGTGGTCCACAGACCATAGATTGAGAACCACTGGCTTAGTCCAACAGTAATTATATGGTTTGCCTAAAATACCTTGTTTCAAAGAGATTTGGAGCCCAACAGGCACTCTTATTCCAATAGATTTAAGAACTATTCCATTCTCAAGCTTTGTCTCCTGTTCTGGAGAAACTTGAAAAAGTAATTCTTAGTTTTCTAATTTAGTACTCCATTATCTATGTTGGGTTTGATATTTTTCATTTATCATGAACATTTTAGTATAAGTTGAGATTGTTTCTTTCAGATCAGCAGTTATTTTGTTCTGGTTTCCAATTTGGAAATCTGTACTTTAAAAGATTCTGAGTGGATAAGCCAAAACTGATGAAGAAGCCTGAATCTGGATTCACTATGGCTGTGGTTTATGTTGTCAATCTTCCAGATCTAATTTTCTTTTCTTCCATATCCTCTTTGTCAGTGTTTTGGCTGCTTCTTAAGATTATGATTATCATAATAGAATAGGTGAGCAAGGGCAGTTCTTTTGAGGTTAATAAAATGAACCTGGATAATGAATAAAATGTTACTGCAAATAAAATTGCAGATGGTCTTTCTGGAGATTCCTAGTTAAAAAAATTTCAACTAATTAACAGGTTTTGCATGTGTGTGTGATATATAATAGGTTATAAATACCTTATTAATTAACAATTTACATTTTTTGGGATCTCCTGAGATTGCCTGAAACATTCTCTAATCTGTTTGGTATGTAACCTTCATCTGCATATTGAACCTGCCTCCCCCCTTTCTCTTCATTCCAGTTTAAAACTACATTGGACTACCTATTAATAAATACTATTGTCACCTGCAACATTTTCTTTACTGAACATTATAAGCTATATTAGCTGGACATTGGAGGAAGTGTATTTGGGAAATAATGCATAGAGACCAACAGGTTACATTCTCAGGAGGAAAATGAAGGAGAATAATATATTAAAAATAAATGCACTAGAATGCATCATTACTTAAAAAAACAAGCACTAATATTTGTACATGCAGAAAAAGCCTTTGATAAGTTGGAGTGGGCTTTTTAATAGCCTTTTTAAAACAAAACAAATCCAAGACAAGAATTTAAAAGTTGAACGAATAACAAACCAACAACAAGCAGCAAATGGAACATTTTCCACAAATTTTCTAGTAAGGAAACCCAATGGGTTAGGGTGTTTACTTTCTTCCTTTGTTATTGGTTTAGAAGTTTTGAGAGACAAAAGTTGGAAAGACAAACAAGCACTTGAAATTAAAATTCAAGGAGAGGAATATAAGTTGAAATGCTATGTAGGTGATGTAGTATCAACCACTATGCAACCATCAAAAGAGAACTGTCAAAATTTGTTAGGAAAGATTACTTTCTGACTCTTCTTGATATTTTTGCCAACAAAGATTAACATGACCATCTTCCAACAACATCTAGTTCAGATTTTATAGGAGAAAAATGGTTTAAGGCTTAATCTTAGAATGAGATGTTTTATCAAGGACAGTGAGAAAATAAATAGTACTTGATTATTTCAGCTTTAGGAATATACAATTCTGGGTTATGATTTGAAATAGGGGATTTGGACACAATAAATGTGAACAAGGAATAGAGAATGTATATTTCCCATAATTCTTTGAGAAGATCTTTCTATTTTTTTTATTGCTCCTTTTCTCTATAGGAGATTGTCGCTGTCCTGACTTATGGCTGGGTTGTATTATGGAAGATACTGGGTAAGTTGTAGAAGAAGTGAGGATCATATAAGGCCAAGGTTAATATTTGAGACCAGGAACCAAGGATTTATTAAAGTAAATTTGAGATCTGTTAAGATCTGTTTAGATCTTAACTTTACATCTTGCTAGCAACAGAAAACTCTCTTTGATTGATTATTGTTAAGTTCATCTATTTCCCTCTCTAGCTGACTTCAGAAGAAAGCAGGTAGCACTTTATGCATAGGTAAAAGAAAGATACATCTGTTCAATTTTCCTTTTTTAGTAATCTGACATCTGCTACATCTTGTTATCTTATCAGTTTTTAAATTCAGCTTTCTATTAACCTTCCCTCCACCCCCATCCCTGCTGTCTTTTTCAAAGAAAGGAAAGGGAATTTGGGTCACTAATAGATCTTGAGAAAATCTCACCTTAAGCCTCTAGCATCAACTGGAAACAAATTCAAGATGCAGATGTACGGTTATATTAATGATTTTACATCTAGCCATATTGAGCTTACAAAACTTTTAAAATAATCTTTATTAGTGATTACAAAAACACAGATAAAAACTAAGAGAAACTATAAAAATTAAGATAAAAAAATAAAGTGCAAGAGAAAAGAAAAAAAATATAATAGCAGAAAAAATATATATAAAGAAATAGCTCAGTTTCTTATCACAAGTATGAAAAATATTTCTAACAAATCATAATTTTCTCTTGACAGTAACTAGCTGTAAGAGGAAACTAGGATTCCTAATGCTCAACCATTGGGATATAAACCAGCATTACTGCAGTTGCCAAAAAAAACCCCACTGCAGTCCTAGACTGCATCAACAGATCAAGATCACACGAAATGTTAGTAATGTTTTATACTGCCTTGGTAAGACTACACTTGGAATAATCTAAAGTGTTTTAGTCACTACGATACAAAAAAGATGTTAAGACTCTAGAAAATGGTTGCAGGAACTGGGTATGTCTAGTTTAATGAAAAGAAGGACTAGGGGAGACATGATAGCAGTGTTCCAATATCTCAGGGGTTGCCTGAGGGAGGGAGTCAAACTATTCTCCAGGGCGCAAGAAACAATGGGTGGGAACTAATCAAGGAGAAAAGCAACTTAGAACTGAGGAGAAATTCCCTGACAGTTAGAACAATTAATCAGTGAACGTTTGCCTCCAGAAGTTGTGAATGCCCCAACACTGGAAGTCTTTAAGAAGATTTTGGATAGCCATTTGTCTGAAACGGTATAGGGCAGCGATGGCGAACCTTTTTTGGCGTGCGCGCCATAAGTGGGGGGAGCGCAGGGGGGTTGTGTGTAAGCTTGCTGCACCCATAAAGCAATGTGCAACCCCCCAGTGTGCATGCACGCACTACCGGCGCTCCCCCCATTTTTTGCATGCTTTTTTCGTTCCTATAAAGCCTCTGGAGCCTGGGGAGGGCGAAAACAGCCTCCCCCGCCCCCTCAGAAGCCCTCCGGAGGCTTCAGGGACCTTTAGGAGGCTTCCCTGAAGCCTCTGAGCAGTCAAAATGACCCTCTGGGAAAAGCGGAAGTCACTTCCGATTTGCTCGGAGGGTCGTTTTGAGTGCTCCGAAGGCTTCAGGCACCTTCAGAAGGCTTCCTTGAAGCCTTTGGAGCAGTCAAAACGATCCTCCAAGCAAACTGGAAGTCCATTTCTGAAGTTCCGGTTTGCCCGTAGGGCCAGTTTTTTGCACTCCAGAGGCTTCAGTGAAGCTCATGAAGCTTCCGGAGGGTCTCCAGGGGCGGGGGAGGCTCTTTTCGCTCTCCCCAGGCTCCTATAAAACCTCTGGAGCCTGGGGAGGGCAAAAAATGGCTTTAAAAAAGGGAGCACGCTGGCCAGCTGACAAATGGCTCTGCATGCCACCTGTGGCACACGTGACATAGGTTCGCCATCCCGGGTATAGGGTTTCCTGCCTAGGCAGGAGATTGGACTAGAAGATCTCCAAGGTCCCTTCCAACTCTGCTATTGTATTGTATTAAAAATGGTGAGAAGAGCAACAAAGATGATTAAGGGACTGGAAGCTAATGTATGGTGAATAGTTGCAAGTTCTAGGTTTGTCTAATCTAATGAAGAGAAGGACTAAGAATGAATGCAAGCAGTCTTCCAATATTTGAGGGGTTGTCACAGAGAATAGGAGGTCAACCTATTTTCCTAAGCACCTGAAAGCAGGAATGAAAGCAAGGGATGAAAACTAATTAAGAAGAGATCAAACCTCGAACTAAGGGAAAATTTCCTATCAATAAGAGCAATTCATCAGTGGAATGGCTTGCCTCCAAAAGTTGTGGGTGTTCCATCACTTTTTAAGAAGAGATTGGACAGTCATTTCTCCAGAATGATATCACTTCATCTCTTCAAAATCTCTTCAGAAAGATTTTTTTCTGAGTCTTTTGCATTTATTTATTTTTGCTATGGATTGAAGGTGACTCACCCTATGTGATGTTCCAAGGGTTCTTAATATTTAAAAAACAGTAAAAATAATTTCAGAAATTATTAAGAGATGAGGATCCTAATTGAGAGTTACCAGAAATACTAATGCATCTATTTTAAACTTAATCCAAAAACACACATAATATAACCTTTCCTTTTGTATCTCATGCTTCATCTATAAAGAAATCTTCCCAAACCTTATTATTCAATCACAATAAATAAAAACTCATTAGTTTTATTTTATCCTGCTCTTATTATTTTTATAAATAACTCAAGGTGACAAAGATATAATATTCTTTTCTCATATTTTCACCACAACCATCCTGTGAGGTGAGTTGGATTGAGAGAGAATAACTGACCCAGATACCCAGCTCTCATGCTTAAGGCTGTGTGAAGGAAAAGACCACATACTTACATTAACATTACTTAAAATATGTAAAATACAAAATAAATTATTTTCCCATATCTCTTATCTGAGAATAGAACCTTAAAACCTCTTTATTCAGTCCTAATTAGCAAACAGTCCATTGATGAGTTTCAGACAATGTATTTGTTTTACCCTTGATCAATAAACCTACTTTATATTTGTTCTGTTTCAGTTTAGCATACAAACATATGCAGGCAGTTGCTATGGAAATAAGCAGTTAATAGTAGACTAGATTGTAAATCAGGGTCTGTGCAAAGAGACCTTGCCTGAATAAATTGCTTTGAAGTTTAAGAAGCAATAGAGTGATCCAGTTCATTCATTCCAATCAGCCAATCCAAATGTCAAAAGTTCAAGGATAAGTTACACAGGAATTATTATCACGAACTAAAAATCCAAATTGTTATTTCCAATAAAGAGTAAAGGAAAAGCAGCTACATAAATCTATATGCAGTTGACTGCAATTACTCAGGCTTTGTCCTTTACTCAGTGAAAAGCCTAATCGAGTGGTTTTGGTCTACTGGGGCTTGAAGATCATGCCTCATTATCTGACTGCTCCGTCGATCAGGAGATTCCTATGATTGCTCAGCCTCTTCAGATGAATCCTGGCTTGAAGAATCTTGAAGCTAACAATCCATAAGACTCAGCTGGATCAACGTTGTCAGAGTTTGAATCTGAATCTTGGCTCGAGACCATATTCCTTCCCCTTATTCTGTACAATTTTAGTTTTTAGTCCCCCTCAAATAATGTCCTAGAACTCCCCCCCCTCCTCTCAGAAAACCTTGAAACTTTAATAGCTCTCTTTCTTCAGAGTTTGATTCCCCCCCCCATTTTTGCTTTGCCCTTTATCACAGAATTTGTACATTCAGTATTTCATCTCCTTCCCTACCATTCTTGTAATGTGTCATTTCCAGATTCACATTTAAATAGGTTTCAGTTTTATCTAGCAAAACTCATTCCTCTTGCACAATATCTTTTACAATCTGTTATCTATAAGTCAATATTTTTAAATTAATTTGAGTCCATTATCCCCAAATATCTTAAATTCATCTGATGTTAAAATATTTTGTTCCATTCTTGGCAGATAATTTAGATATTTCTCCTTTACATGTAATCTTTAGTACCTTCTGTTTTGTCCTATGATTTGCCCAATTAAAGGTTACAGACACAAGAGTTTTAGTAGTATATATACAATTAGAAATCTTATTTCACATTTATCTGGCCCTTCAGTCTGTCATTTACTTTCCCAAAGCAATACTCTAATTACCCTTTTCCTATTTACTCCAAAACGGAATTTTTCTGAGTCTTTAAATTTTTATTTTAAAACTTGGATTGAAAGAGAGCAATCAGTGAATTCCATGAAACTGCTGTGCCATTCCAAGAGTTCTAAATATTTAAACAGTAAAAAATATATATATCCAAAACTGGTTAAGCAATGAAGATTGGTCAAACTTAAAGTCCTTAAAGACAATATTACATTTTTGAGCCTAATGAACTCCCTTGACTCCCAGTTGCATTATACACAAGCGACCACAGAAACATTGGTTCTTGCTATCTATACACCAGTAACAGCTATCTGGAGTATGTATGGGCAATCTCACAATCTCTTCTTTCTCCAGGGAGATTTCAGTAGCACAGATCCAGCTGTAAGCTCCCAATTCAGCTGTAATGTTGTCCACCTGTTCAGGAACATCAATTTCTCACTGGAAGTCTCTGGACCAAGGAAAACGTTTTACTTCCTCTGAGATTTCATTGGCTTTTAATCTTTTATTGGCTCTCTTCCTGATACATAGATACTACCTGCCACGGAAATTTTCACGCTGCAGTGTTGATGAATACAATCAGTTTCTGGCTGAAGGAGGAGGAAGCTGTCTCTTTAACAAGCCTTTGAAGGTAACATTAAAACACTTTCATTTGATCACAATTGTAAATAAGAATTACTTCCAGACCACATTTTCCATCTATTATCTTATATCTTGGCAATTCATAGGACCAAAATTTGGTGAAACCAAATTCTTGTTTTGTGATCAGAATATCAGCCACAGATCTAGGTAAGATAGGACCATATCTTTCTTATGGTACTTTAATAGGTGGTACTACCTCTCAGCTGACCTACAGAATTATTGAAAGGATCAATTTCAATTAACTCATGCTGCATTTCATAATTGTTTTCTTGTCAACAATATGAAAGTAATTTGTAATTTGGAGGGTTTTTTTTCTCACTTTCCTAATCTGCTCTGCAGTTTAATTATTATTATTATTTTTGCAATCTAAGCCCCATTTATTTTTTGAAGACTTGTCATCAACATGTGTTGCAAAGACTTTAGTCAATGCATTTTACATGTGTCTGCTTTAGGCAAGCTTGAGTGACTTGCATAAAAATGCAGGATTGACTGCTGCAAAGTACATGTACTGTAAGGTATCCTATAAAGAATGTTCTCTTGAACATACTTGAATTAAGTTAGCATTTTTAGTATTTCAATTGGTTGTAAGTAACTGAATATATAATACTGAAGGTCATTGCTAAAATCCAAGCAATATATGTGCCAATATCTATAGTTTGTTCTATATGAATCATAAAATACGTTTGAAAGTCACAATAAATTCTATCCACAATATTGAACATATATTCTGATTTAATACATCTTGTAAAATATTAAATCTTTGCTAACAAGAAAACTCAAATTTTGAGTATTCTAGAGGCCTACTGTATGTTTAGAACTCTCGTTCAAAAATGTTTTCAAATAGAATTAGGTTTTGTATAAGATTTACTTCTGAGATACAAAGTTATTTGGAACGTCAATGCATACTCCCACTCAGTGGTGGGTTTGAACCAGTGGTAGGTTCCAAATTTTTTTAGAATCTATTCTGTAGGTGTGGCTTGTTTTGTGGGAGTGGCAGTCATGTAACTGGCTGGGCGTGGCCAACTTGTAAAATGTGGTGAAACTCACTAAATAACGCTTGTGCTTAACACAATTGAGCCCAAAACTTTGGGCTCAATTGTGGTCATGAGTTCTCTTTCTTTCTTTCCTTCCTTCCTCCTTCTTTCTTTCCCTTCCTTTCTCTTCTTCCCTCTTTCCTTCCTTTCTTATTTCTCTCTCTCCGTTCTTCTTTCTTTCTTTTTCCTTCTTTCTCTTTCTTTCTCTCTTTCTCTCTTTCTCTTTCTCTCTCTTACTCTTTTTTTCTTTCCAAAGGGACACAATATGTGGACCTAACTAGATGTTATGCATCATAAAATATATGGCACCTTACAAAGCTGACCCACCAACTGAGCAACAGACACTTCACTGCTGTGAAAAAAATATTCCTTGTATTTACATAATCTTCCACCTTTTATAGGCTTTATAAACATATTTATTTCCATAAGAGAAGAGAGAGATCAGCTGGCAGAAGTGGGCTGCATTGTTAATCTGAGGGGACAGCCAGTTTTGCCTTTCCTTTTCATCCAAAGCTGGTGAAATAGTGATTATTCTGAACTGGTGATGGAAAAGGATGGAGTGAGGGGCCAATATTTTTGTCTCTTGTATCCAAGCAATATAAAGGCATTATTGCAGGTGCCTCATTTGTCTGGATAACAAGAGCAGCTTGAGAGGAACAGAGATATTTTATCAAC